TTCGCCGATGACACAAAGATAGGTAGGATAATTGATTCAAACGTAGATGTTATGGAACTTCAGGAGGATTTAAACAAACTCTATTCTTGGTCAGAAAAGTGGCAGATGCAGTTCAATGTAGATAAATGCAAGGTTCTGAAGCTTGGGAGTGCCCATAACCCTAGTACTTATAAGTTAAATGATGTAGAACTTAGCCATACAGATTGCGAAAAGACTTGGGGGTTATGGTGAGCAGCAACCTTAAACCAAGACAGCAATGCCTAAGCGTACGTAATAAGCAAATAGATTGCTGGGATTTATATCAAGAAGTGTAAGCAACAGAAGTCAGAGGTCATACTGCAGCTTTATACATCATTGTAGGCCTCACCTAGATTATGCAGCTCAGTTCTGGTCTCCGTATTACAAAATGGACATAAATTCGTTAGAAAACATTCAGCGTCGGATGACTAAATTAATACATAGCATTAGAAATCTTCCTTATGAAGAAAGATTGAAGACTCTTAAGTTACATTCACTTGTTAGACGAAGAATGAGGGGAGACCTGATCGAAGTGTATAAGTGGAAGATAGATATTAATAAAGGGGATATTAATAAGGTCTTGAGGATGTCTCTCCAAGAGAGAACCCGCAGTAATGGATTTAAATTAGATAAGTTTAGATTTAGAAAGGACATAGGAAAGTATTGGTTTGGAAATAGGGTAGTTGATGAGTGGAACAGTCTACCTAGTTGGGTTATTGAGGCTGGGACTTTGGGTAGTTTCAAATCTAGGTTGGATAAGTACATGAGTGGGAGGGGTTGGATTTGAGTGGGACTTTCACATCAGAGCTTATTTCTTGGGTGGCATTGAAAATTGGGTTGGGCAAATGTTTTGTTAGTGGGATGAATTGTAAAGGACCTGCCTAGTATGGGCCAGCAGGCCTCCTGCAGTGTTCCTCCTTTCTTATGTTCTTATGTTGGTCACAAAGAGTTCTTCCACAGCTGTGGAAATCTGCCATTGTTCTCCCTTTCCGCAAACCGGGTACTACAGGACATGCAGCCTCCCATTATCGTCCCATCGCTCTTACCAGTGCAGTTTGCAAAGTGATAGAACGTCTGGTAAATAGACGTTTAATGTGGTATTTAGAGAGAGACAACAGTCTCTCCACTCGTCTATATGGCTTTCATAAGGGCTGTTCTACCATAGACCCCTTACTATGTTTGGATACATATGTTCGTAATGCCTTTGCGAATAACCACTCAGTTATTGCCATATTTTTTGACCTCGGGAAGGCATATGACACAACTTGGAGGTATATTTTGGCCCAAGCCCACTCCTTAGGCCTCCGAGGCAATCTACCATCTTTCCTTAAGAACTTTTTAACTGACAGACATTTCCGTGTTCGAGTCAATAATGTGCTCTCCCCGGACTTTGTCCAAGCTGAAGGTGTCCTTCAGGGATGTGTTCTAAGCACAACACTTTTTCTCCTTGCTATAAATTATTTGGCCTCTGTTCTTCCATCCAATATTTAGTCATCACTCTATGTAGATGACTTCACTATTGCTTGTGCAGGCACTGACTGTCACCTCATTACAGTTTCTCTCCAGCATGCGGTCAACCGTGTTTCCAATTGGGCCACCATGCATGGGTTTAAATTTTCCAGTACCAAAACTCACCAAATTACTTTCACTAGACGCTCTGTCATCTCCGATTATCCTTTGTACCTCTATGGCTCCCGTATCCCTGAACGTGATACAGTCAGGTTTCTAGGCCTTCTCTTTGACCATAGGTTATCCTGGAAACCCCACATTACCTCTCTAAAGGCAACTTGTCACAGCCGGCTGAACCTTCTTAAAACCCTTGCTCATCTTTCATGGGGAGCTGATCGTCAAACTCTCCTTCGCCTACATTCACCCCTCATTTTATCAAAACTCGATTATAGTGACCAGATCTATTCAGCGGCCTCTCCTGCTACTCTCCTTAACCCTATCCATCACCAAGGATTACGTTTATGCCTTGGTGCTTTTCGCTCTTTCCCTGTTGAGAGCCTCTATGCAGAAGCGAATGTTCCATCCTTGTCTGATTGCCGTGATGCCCATTGCCTTCGCTACTATGTGCACTCTCACAATCTCCGCATTCCTTCCATTTATGGAATGGTCACTGATATTAGTAGACATTCTTTATTTGTTCGCCGCTCGTTTGCTCCGTCCCTTCTCTCTTCGCCTACATTCGCTCTTGTCTTCCCTTCAGTTACCGCCTTTATATGTTCATGTAGCATCTCACTTTTCCCTACCCCCCTGGGAAGTTCCAGCTGTTTGGGTCTGTTCTTTCTCACTCCCTTGCTCGAAAGCCCAACTGCCTACGGTGGCTTCCCGCTCTCTTTTTCTTGACCATTTCCACTCTCATTCTCATGCCATCGCCGTGTACACAGATGGCTCTAAATCTTCTGATGGCGTCGGATTTGCAGCAGTGTTTCCGGACAGCATTGTGCGAGGGCATTTACTATCTTCGGCTAGCATTTTTACTGCTGAATTGTATGCCATTCTTGCACCAATTATTCGTATCGTATCTATGCCCGTGTCATCATTTGTGGTTGTCTCAGGCTCCCTTAGTGCTCTACAGGCTATACGGAAATTTGATACACCTCACCCCCTAGTTCTCCGTATCCAACTTTGGCTACGCCATATCTCTACCAAGCATAAAAATATTGTTTTTTGTTGGGTCCCTGGTCATGTTGACGTACAGGGCAATGAACAGGCAGACACTGCTGCGCGGTCAGCAGTACATGACCTACCAATTTCATATAGAGGTGTTCCATTTCTGGACTATTTTGCTGTAATAGCTACCCACCTTCACACCCGTTGGCAACAACGTTGGTCTGCTCTGCTCACTAACAAACTTTGTTCTATTAAACTGAGTATAGGTTATTGGCCGTCTTCTTGTCACCAGTGCCGAGGTTGGGAGACTACTCTCTCCCGCCTTCGCATTGGCCATACTCGTCTTACTCATGGATATCTCATGGAGAGGCGCCCTGCTCCTCTCTGTGAGAATTGTCAGGTTCCATTATCGGTCAGCCACATTCTGTTAGACTGCCCACTTTATCAACGAGCACGCAGAATTTACCTCCAACGTTGTCTTCGCTCCGCTGCTCTCTCTTTACCTTCCCTTCTTGCTGATGGACCCACCTTTTATCTGGACTGTCATTGACTTTTTGACAACAACTGACTTACTCCACAAACTCTGATGATACCTTCAGCCCTTTCTACCTCAATCTCTTGCTACCCTCTACCCCTGCCCTGCTGTTTTCTGTAACCTACTAATCATCCCTCCCCTCTTATGCCGCCCGATACCCTCACTTCCTTCCCTACCCTTCAGCGCTGTATAGCCCTTGTGGCTTAGCGCTTCTTTTTTATTATAATAATAATAATGCTCCTTAGTGATTATTATTGTGTTATTATTATCATTATTAATATGGCATCTTCAAGACTAATAAGACACACTATAAAGGGAGAAGCTGGAAGCATGGTCAAAGATGTGTGGAAGTCAGGTGTATCAAAGGAGTCAGGCAGAACCTCAGAGTGGGCGATGAAATGCTACCTGCAGGAGGTACCAGACCGTTAAAAAGGTCCAAAGATTGGTCTGATAACGAGATAGGGTCATAAGAGGGCACTGCAGCAGAAAAAGGCCTGAGAAGAGCAGTTTCATGGATCTGGGACTCCATGGTTAAGTTACTTATTTATTTTTCCCCAAAACAAAGGAAAAAAAGGGGGGGGGGAACGTGGATGGGTAGCTCCTAGGAGGAATGAAAGGGCCTTAAATCCCCCTCCATGCCCAAGAGGACCTCATTGCAGCCAGTAGTGCAGATGCGGCATAGAACCTGTGCCATACCCTACCTTTCATGCCAGTAAACCAGCAGTCCAGGATAACAGCCTCACATCTACTGAGCCACCTCGGTGGACAAGATACCCGCCACAAGGCATACCTCCTTTGGCCATCACCTCCCGGGATCTGACAGGCAGCTTCCAGAGATACACCCATCACCCGAAAGATATCACAAACCTTCCCTGGGAGACCGGAGAGGGATCAGGACATCCCTGAATGATCCAGATTCCATGGCAAACTACACCACCAAGGACCTCAACAGAATGGGATGGACAATGATACCCTTTCCTCAACCTAGGAACTATAATGCCTGAGGGAAAGACCACAAAAGCTGAAAACAGGAAAAGTAGAGAGGGAGGTTGGGGAAAGGAGGAATGTGACAAGGATGGGGGAGATTAGGCTCAGTCAGAAGAAGAAGACCAAATGGTCTAACTCAGACCAAAAGCCTCTTTACCACGACAAGCAGAGTCCCTTAAACAGGTCTTCGATTAAGAGCCCTTCACCTGCATCAAAACAGCCAACTCTTAAAATATCAAATTATCATTATCATGTTCACATGGAAACACTGAACCCCTCGGTAAGGTCATACAGGGTCTGGGAAGTAGTCAGGTTTGATCAAGGATATGGCAGGTGAAGTCCAGTTCCTAAATTAAAGGCACCGAGTCTTCCTTTCCCTTGAAGAAAAAGGGTCAAATAAATCTGGTGTTAGGGTTTCATGGTATGAAATGATACGGCACAAAGAGTGGGGCAAACGTTTATTTCATATCCTCAGTACTTCAGTGAATGAATGTCATACTTTAAGATGAAGTATGATATAGGTTAATCTTGTATCCATGATTTGCAAATGTTATAATCATAAGGAAACATTAGTGCCTGGGGAATGGGAGTGTAATCAGGTTTGAACCAAGGAAGGGAACTGCTAATGCTTTGGATCAAGACTTTCACCAGTATCAAGGTATCATCCTTTAAAAAGAAATTTGCAAATAATTTAGTGAAGAAAATATTCTAATTGTAATGTGCTCCAGAAATGACACTGGATATAAATGCAATGGTAGTAGTCTAAAATATAATTGGATAGAGTAAATGCTGTTTTTTTTTATTTACAATAAAAATAACTTACATGCATGTTTGTTTTCACCAGCTGGACTTCTCACTCGTGACCCTAGGAGACATGAAAGGAAAAAGCCAGGCTGGAAGGGCGCAAGGGCAAAATATACCTGGAAAAAGCGATAGAGGTCCTGAAGATAGTAATAATTATGGCCTACATGATGCACAGTAACTGTTTAGGGAAAAAGCACAAACTTGTAGGGTTCATTCATAGTGCTTGGAGAATGGGAAGCAGCATGTTTCTATTCAAGGAATGGGAGAACCAGTCCAGTTCCTTGAGTCAAGAAACTCTCAATATTATTATAGAGTTAAGCACCAAACCCAAAAGGATCATTCGGTATTGAAAGTTTCTCACCAGCTAGGTGAGATTGAAAAAAAAAATTGTATGGTAATAAACATGTTGCTTAACAAGTGAAAAAATGTGTTTTATTTAAATTCCTACATACATTTAATTATATTTTTAACCCTTAAACTGTCCAAACGTAGATCTACGTTCACTTGCGTGGTGCTCTGAATATTTTGAAAAAATAAAAAAAAATCTTTGTTTTTAAATTAAAGAGGGCAATTTTCTGTGTGGTATAAGACCAAAAAAAAAAATTTAGGACCAGTAAATAGCGCGCTAAAAATATCTAACAGAGACGACTCACAGCAATGGTTTCAAGTTGGAAAAATTCAGATTCAGGAAGGATATAGGAAGGCACTGGTTTGGTAATAGAGTTGTAGATGAGTGGAACAAACTCCCAAGTACAGTTATAGAGGCTAAAACGTTGTGTAGTTTTAAAAATAGGTTAGATAAATACGTGAGTGGGTGTGGGTGGGTGCAAGTTGGACCTGACTAACTTGTGCTACTTGGTCTGATGCCATGCTCCTTCCTTAAGTGGAAGTGACCTGACTAGGTGGGTAATTGGGATAATCTGGGGGGGAGATATGGACCTGCTTTGCATGGGTCAGTAGACCTGCTGCATTGTTCCTTCTTTATGTTCTTACCTAGATATAAGACCACGAAGTTTTGGTCTGGATGCTCACCGGATGGCAACATCCAGCCCTGCCTCTTGCAGAAGTGTTGCCGAGTTACCCTTTTTCTTGTTTTTATTTTAATTCACGTAATTTTTATGTTCTGATAATTACATCTATAATAGTTCTTGTGATTTCATAGCCAATTTTAGTTCTGACACTAATATTATGTACTGAAATAGTACTCAAATAGTAACAATCACAGTGACAGGTGAACATTTTCACCAGCCTTGGTCATTGACTATTGTCTAGAAATATATACAAAGTATTTATAGGTCCCAGCAATGTTTTAGACACACTGGAGTATGAAACTCCTTGAAGAATGGTGTTATGACAAGGGTCAGATGAGTGACAGCCAGTGACATTTGATGAATGTGGGCTGCTTGAGGGACCCTTTCTTTTATATGTTTTTTTTCTTGTACATAAACATGTCTTTTGTATATCTTTCTGTCTGTGTCTATCTATCTGTCTGCCTAGCTCTGCTTATCTGTCTGTCTGGTTCAGCTTATCTGTCTTTCTGTCTTCTGTGTGTGCCTGGGGTATAATATGAAACTCCTTGAAGAATGGTGTTATGACAAGCGTCAGATAACAAGTGACATTTGATGAATGTGCACTGCTGGAGGGGGGAACCCTGCATTTATATGTTTTTACTCTTGCACACAAACATGTCTCTGTATGTCTGTCTATCTGTCTGCCTGTCTGTCTTCACATCTGTCTGTATTTGTACATCTGTCTGTCTATCTGCCTAGGTCTGCTAATCTGTCTATCTAGTTCAACTTATCTGTCTTCTGTGTGTAATCATGTTTATTTATGTGGAAGAGGGTAAGGTACCTAGGGATTGACAGAGAGCATGCATAGTTCCTTTGTATAAAGGCAAAGGGGATAAAAGAGTGCAAAATTATAGGGGAATAAGTCTGTTGAGAATACCTGGTAAAGTGTATGGTAGAGTTATTATTGAAAGAATTAAGAGTAAGATGGAGAGTAGGATAGCAGATGAACAAGGTTTTAGGAAAGGTAGGGGGTGTGTAGATCAAGTGTTTACAGTGAAACATAGATGAACAGTATTTAGATAAAGGTAAAGAGGTTTTTGTGGCATTTATGGATTTGGAAAAGGCATATAACAAGGTGGATAGGGGGCCAATGTGGCAGATGTATGGTATAGGAGGTAGGTTACTGAAAGCAGTGAAGAGTTTTTATGAGGATAGTGAGGCTCAGGTTAGAGTATGTAGGAGAGAGGGAAATTATTTCCCAGTAAAAGTAGGCCTTAGACAAGGATGTGTGATGTCACCGTGGTTGTTCAATATATTTATAGATAGGGTTGTAAGAGAAGTGAATGCGAGGGTCTTGGCAAGAGGTGTGGAGTTGAAAGATAAAGAATCAAATACAAAGTGGAGTTGTCACAGTTGCTCTTTGTTGATGACACTGTGCTTTTGGGAGATTCTGAAGAGAAGTTGCAGAGGTTGGTGGATGAATTTGGTAGGGTATGTAAAATAAAAATAAAAGTAAATACAGGGAAGAGTAAGGTTATGAGGATAAAAAGATTAGATGGGAAAGATTGGATATCAGATTGGAGAGAGTATGGAGGAGGTGAATGTATTCAGATATTTAGGAGTGGACGTGTCAGCAGATGGGTCTATGAAGGATGAAGTGAATCGTAGAATTGATGAGGAGGAAAGGGTAAGTGGTGCACTTAAGAGTCTGTGGAAACAAAGAGCTTTGTCTGTGGAACCAAAGAGGGGAATGTATGAGAGTATAGTTGTACCAACACTCCCATATGGGTGTGAAACATGGGTGATGAATGTTGCAACGAGGAGAAGGCTGGAGGCAGTGGAGATGTCATATCTGAGGGCAATATGTGGTGTGAATATAATGCGGAGAATTCGTAGTTTGGAAATTAGGAGAAGGCATGGGATTACCAAAACTATTATCCAGAGGGCTGAGGAGGGGTTGAGGTGGTTCGAACATGTAGAGAGAATGGAACAAAACAGAATGACTTCTGGAGTGTATAAGTCTGTAGTGGAGGGAAGGTGGGGTAGGGGTCAGCCTAGGAAGGGTTGGAGGGAGGAGGTTTTGTGTGCGAGGGGCTTAGACTTCCAGCAAGCGTGCATGAGCGTATTTGATAGGAGTGAATGGAGACAAATGCTTTTTTTAATACTTGACGTGCAGTTGGAGTGTGAGCAAAGTAACATTTATGAAGGGATTCAGGGAAACTGGCAGGCCGGACTTGAGTCCTGGAGATGGGAAGTACAGTGTCTACACTCTGAAGGAGGGGTGTTAATGTTGCAGTTTTATAATTCTAGTGTAAAGCACCCCTCTGGCAAGAGAGTGATGGAGTGAATGATGAAAGTTTTTCTTTTTTTGGGCCACCCTGCCTTGGTGGGAATCGGCCAATGTATTAATAAAAATAAATAATCTACAAACACTGTATAGCACTTGGTTTGGAATTTTTGGGTTATCCTAGGTAATTTACATTATGTATAATTGTATTTATAAGTACAGTGGACCCCCGGATAACGATCAGCTCCCAACTCGACCAATTATGTAAGTTTATTTTTGTAAGTGCTTTTGTAGGTGTATTTTTAGGGGTCTGAAATGGACTAATCTAATTCACAATATTTCTTATGGGAACAAATTCGGTCTATAACGGCACCCAAACAGACTTCTGGATTGAAATAATATCGTTATGCGGGGGTCCACTGTACATGTGAGAGACAGAGATATACACAGACAGATACAGACACAGCCAAAGCCAGCCAGCCAGCCCAATACATTAGAACATAAAAAAGAAGGAACACTGCAGCAGGCCTACTGGCCCATGCAAGGCAGGTCTGTGTCATCCCCCGGCTTAGACCGATAACCCACCAAGTCAGGTCACATCCAGTGAAGGAAGGAACATGACATCTGACCTAGTAGCACAAGCTAGTTAGGTCTAACTCACACCCACTTGTGTATTTATCAAACCTAATTTTACTTCCCTCTGAAAATGTGAGTGTTAATATGACATGACATCAGTGAATCACTGGTGTTTGCCATGCTATTTGCTCTAGCTGGCACTCAATTGAACTGATGTTCCCACAAGGTACTAAGTGGTCCCCGATTATTCTCATACTGCACACACTGAGTGCACAGACCCATTCTTTCACGTCTAGGCGACTCGAGCCTATTGCACCAAATTTGAAAGAATGAAAAATAAAACGTTGATCTACGTTTGGAGCCCTCCGCACATGAACGTAGATCTGCATGTGGACAGTTTAAGGGTTAATTTTTTTTTTTTTTTTTTTTTTGGCATGCCACTATTCAGGGCAAGAAGCAAGCAAACTCAACAACTATCAGCTGTTTGTGACCTTCTGATCGTCATTGAAAGTTCCACATTTCACGCTTTTTTTTTTTTTAACTTGATGCCCAAACTTTGATATTATTATCAAACTAAGTGCTAAATGCAAATAGGTCATACAGCACTGCAGGGTGGTATGTGCTAAAGAAGGAATATACAAAAATTGAGATGTGTAAAGGTACCTGTTTAAGATATGGAGAAGAAGGGAAGTGAGAAAAGCCTCTAACTGGTCTCCCTAAGTCACAGTGAGACCCCACAACAAATGATAAGCATTAAAATCACCTAACAAGATTGGCAGAGCTAAAAAAAAAAAAAAAAGAAATGGATATCAGGGATACGAAATTAAAAGTGAATACAGCCTCTCCTCGCTTAACCCTTTGACTTGCAAGCCCATTTCTGAAACTGTCATTCTATGTCGCAAAATATTCGGAAAAAATTATTTTTTTCTTATGAAATGATAATCTTTTCCCAATGGCAATGACACCAAAAATACGAAATTTGATGGAAAACTTATGAATTACACTTGCAAAGTTAGCGATCTCTGCGCATCAGTGATTTCGCCAAATTTGAGCCCTATTTTCGGCCAATTCCATTGTTCCAGTCGACCGAACTCATAGCTATTTCTTTAGAACTCCATTTGTTCTATCGACTGAGTACAAGAAACCGCCCATTTACCAATTTCAACTACCCAACAAGGTGGTCAGAATTTGGCCCATTTCACACAAATTAAAAAAGATGCCAGTTTCAAAATAGGGTCCAGAATAAACAATGCAGTCATTCCTGGCACTAAAATAATATTTTCTCTGTTCATTAGACATGTCTCCAGGCCCCTCTTATATTACTTTTGCTTTCTATTTTGAGTTTTTGTTCACAAAAAATAGATTTACTGTTATGCAGACTACGTCATTATTGTAAAAATAATATAATTAATATCAGTGCACTTGTGAAAGAATATTAGACTTGCCAGTTGACATGTATTGGATGCGTGGCGTGATTTGTTTACTCTTGAGCATTGGCAAAAATCTCCGTTACTTTGAGCTCAATTTCAGGTCATTTTCATTATGAAACTAAT